TGATGTGGGAGGGCCCAGCCCACTGTGGGTGGTGCCATCCCTGTGTAAGTGGGCCTGTGTTGCATAAGAAGGCAGGCTGAGCAGGAGCCAGGGGAGCAAGTCAGTAAGCAGTGATCCTCCATGGCCTGTGCTCTAGCTCCTGCCTCCAGGTTCTTGCCCTGAGTTTACCTTGGGCTCCCTGATGAACTGTGACCCGGGAGATGTAAGCTCAATAAACCCTTTCCTCCCCAAGTTGGTAGTGGTCAGAGTTTTTGGTCACAGCAATGAAGAAACAAACTAGAACACTCCCTAATCACATCAGGCCAAGCACTTTCCATAAATGATCAGGTTGCTGGACCAACTGCTTCCTTCCTGACTTCCAGGACCCTTATTTTCACTACTCACTTGGCACAACACTGGGTCGTAGGGTCACTCAACCTTTCAGAGGCCCCTTGACTCTGAGATGTAGGACCCCAACACGGAACAAAGCCTATGTGTGAACCTGAGCTCGGGCCACTACTATGTGCAGCAGAGGTCCACAGAATTTCTTATCCAATGCCAAAGAAGTGAGGACAGGATCCCTGCAGAGGGTCCTGGACTCTGAAAGCCCTGAAGACTGCACCAATACTCACTGGGATAGGAGCTTGGTCCCACTTTCCACAAGCCTCGTCAGCACAACGATGCCATCCATGTTGATGAACTCAGTGGCGAAAGTCACGTCGGCTGAAAGCTTGGCTAGCTCCTTCATGGCCTCCAGCCGGGTCTCCATGTTGGAAGACTGGGTCCTTTCCATCAGCTGGCGTGCAGCCCGGGACTGTGAGACCAGGGACAAAAGTGATGCAATCTGTTCCTTGCAGCAGGTTACTATTCTGGATAGCTCACATCCAAGCCTCAGGCAGAATTAGTTTTTCTCATGGCTTATGAGTTGCTAAATAAATGTTTACAGGACCAATAAGAATTTCCAGTGTGCCAAGACCAATCGATACTTATCTGTATCTTTCTGTATCCCTTTGGTCTATGGATTTTTTAAAAATTGCATTTACTTATTTGTGTTTGCATGCCATAGCAGGTATGTGAGGGGCGGGCAGATACGGGATGTCAGAGCATAACACACAGCAGTCTGGTGTCTATTCTTTCACATGTAGTCCAGAGGATCAAACTTAAGACATCTGGCTTCATGGCAAGTGCCTTAACTCACTGAGTCACCTTGCTGGTCCCTGGTCTTTGGATTTTTAAAAAAATTCCTACTAAGGAAATACAGGGATATGGGAGATCCACTAACTCTGGCAAGCTACTGAGAAGCAGGCTTGTAGGGAGCTTTCTACTAATGAACGCTACCTAACACTAGAGGGTTTCCCCTGAGGAAGTAAGGTCCATCCCTGGAAGCAGTTGAGGGGGACTGGACGTCTGTTAAAAGCTGAGGGGCCCTTCCCTAGAATTTAATTGGACAACTCTTTTAACTTTCAGGTTCCATACTCCCTTCATCCCATGAAGCCACTGGTTGTGAAATGACAGCTGGTAACAGCTTCCTCCACCACAGGACTGTCCTTAGTGGGATACTTGCATCCCTCCTGCAGCTGTGGCGGAGCCCCAAGCATCATGCTTACTCGCTGCTCCTTGTGCTGAACTTACTACCACAGAGTCAGACTCCAATCCACAGCTTCATCAGTCTCTACGTTTTGAACTCAGAGCTCTCTGTTGAAGCTTGAGGAGCAGAAGTGCTCCCATGGGACTTCTTTCTCCCTGTGGTGTTGGGCAAGTGACTGGTGCCCAGCTCTGTGGAGGCCAGGAGTCAGCCAGCTATCCCTCTCTTTGCCTCTGTTAACAGGGCTCTCAGTGACATACAGATCCTCCTAATGCCACAGTAGAGGAAAGGTGCGGCACAAGAAAAGGTCACCAGCAAGAAGTATATGCAGAGTATCAGTCTGCATCTCACTCAAGAAACTTCTAGTCCAAATGTCAATTTTCCTCCAGAGATAGCCTTTCTGTTTGCTGTGCCCGATCCACCTCATACCAGAGGTCTATAAATGTTCTGCACTTCCACAAAAGTGAGGTTCTTCCAGACAGTCACATTACATTAGCAGAGCCTGGTGTGGGGGGTGAGGTCCTTAAGCTGAGAAGTTCCTTCAGGCGAAGGAGGGAAAGGAACAAGATGCTAGGAAAACTGGCCTAGACTCCCAGGCCTGGGTTTGACGCCTCTGGCTTGGCTACCCTCTTGGTCATATGACAAGAGGCAAGCTATTTAACCTCGTGCTCAGTTTCCTTGCCGGAAAAGTGGGGCTCCCATGAGTGCCTCCCTCTTGGTTCTTTGATAGATCCCTGGAAACCTAGGCACTCAGTAACTGCTGGTCAGCATCCCTCTGTACTTTGCTCCTCGCAGACAAGCTACTCTCTTCCTCACCAAGAAAACACCACTGTAACTTCTCAAGTCCAGTTCCAAGGCCACACGCACCTCTGTAGCAAGGTGGGCCCTCCATCCTGATGCAGGCAGGACCTTACCCCCTCTCCTATACCTTCACTCTCTGCTCTCCCATCAGAACTTATCCAAGAGGACAAATGGAAAATGCAATTAAAAGAAAGGACTGGGAGGGGCCGCTGAGTTGGAGAGGAGATAGGAGTGGGAGAAAGACCTTTCACTTGGCCAACACAGTTTGAAACATGAATATTTTGCCCATTTTTGTAAAAGCGTATCTTCTGGATCCCACAACTCCCGAGTTACTGCCCTCCATCTGTTTCCCTTTGGAACCGAGACTCTTGATACAGTAGTAGACTTAAAGTTCTCCATTGGTTTCCCCAACTTTTAGTCAACCTACCTGGCCGCACTTTCCCCACAGAAGATCTGGGTGTCCCCCTAGCTTCCTGATCTTTGGTCTGTTTTTGGTTTACCCTCTCTCTGCTCACTATAAACTGTACACCGTACCTTCCTCTATCCTGATCCCCAACCTGCACTTGACCTGGAGTCACTTCACACCCTTCCAATCCCCCTTCTTTTATGTTGTTTTGAGACCAGTCTCGTGTAGCCCAGGCTGGTGTTTGACTGCAGCTGAGGATGTTGAGACCAGTCTCATGAAGCCCAGGCTGGTATTAGACTGACTGCAGCTGAGGATGTTGAGACCAGTCTCATGAAACCCAGGCCAGTAAACTGACTGTGCAGCTGAGGATGATCTTGGACTCTTGACTTCCTGCTCCCACCTCCCAAATGCTGAGATTACAGGTCTGAGCTACCACGCATGGCGTCTGCTTTCCTTTCCACCTTTCTGGCTTCTCCCTTTAGTCACCTTTAAGGGCTACTCGTACAGAAATGAGGGGTCAGCTTGAACTCCCTGTCTGCCCTCCACCTCCAGCACTTCATCATATCCATCAAGGTTATGTCTAAGTTTTCCACATTTACCCTGTCATCCCACTGCCATGGTTAGATCGCGAACATTCCTCACCTGCCTCTCAGAGTGTCTCTCTTGCACAGGCCTTCCTTCCTTTACCGCCATCTCCCCCACTGCCATGAGCGTGATCTTTTTAAAATTTAAACTTAAGCACAGTACATTTCCCTCATGGCCCTGGCTTCTTTATGGGTAAAGTTCAGGCCCATGGGTGGCCTTCAAGACCATCTCCAAAGCCCCACAGCCACCAGTGCTCCCACCTCCCCACCCACACTTCTAAGCCCTGGTTTCTACACTAGGAAATGCCTCATTTCTTCTTCCTCCAGCTAACTCTAGCTTTTGCATCTGAGCTAAGGGTTCCCTTCTCTGGGAAAGCTTTCTGGAAATGCCAGACTAAGATAGCTGGTCCCTCCCAGAGTTCCTAGAGTTCCCTAAGCAACTCACTTCAGGAGGCCTTCTACTGCTTGTGCTTATCTGTTGCCAGCCAGCTATAAGGACCAGAATTTCTTCTCAATCCCTGTAGTCTCAGCTTCTAGAGCAGAGTCTGGCCCACCACAGGTACGCCCGCCTGCCTCTTAAACGGGTAAGTTCTCCAGGGAGGAGCAACACCTACCGGGGAGATAGCCAGTTGTAAGATGGTGCCATTCTTAATGTCACTTCGGGTCTGAGAAGCAAAGAATAAAACAAAACAAAAGGTAAAATATTAAGACAGTAAAAGCAAGATGCATTGGTAAGAACTTCTGGTCATTTTAGTATAGTTAGCTCTCTTCACCTGCAAGTTCAACATCTGTGGCTAATTCAACTAACAATGAACCAAAAATATTCATGATGGAAGATTTCTTTGAACATCACTGACTTTTCTTAATCTTGCCGGGATTCCCTAAGCAATACTGTGCTGGATAGCTTTAGTTGTCAACTTTTATAACACACTTGGGTAGAGGGGGCCTTAATTGGTGAATTGCCTCCACTGGACTGGCCTGTGGCCATGTCTATGGGGCATCTTCTTGATTACTGAGTGATGTGGGAAGGCCCAGCCCACTGTAGGTGGTGCCACCCTTGGGTGGTTCTGTATTGTGTAAGAAAGCAGGTTGGGCATGGGCCAGGGGAGCAAGCCAGTAAGCAGCATTCCTCCATGGCCTGTGCTCCAGCTCCTGCCTCCAGGTACCTGCCCTGAGCTCCCTCAGCAATGGGAGATGAAAGCTGGAAAGGGTGTTTTGTCATGGCAATCGAAGGCAAACTAGAGTAAGTACTGTACAGTAAATGTTGCCACAATGTGTCCATTCCATTAGGCAGCACAGGCCCCTAAAGGTGATCTTAAGGTAGAGGGGACACAGCTAGGTGACAGGAGGCTACTGTGTAAGGATTCCAAGGGACAACCATAGTAAAGAGGCTCTTCAGCCAGGTCTTGTACTCGCTCCCAGCAAAGAGCTTCAAAGAGCTTCTCAGTGCCCTGGGTCTTAGGAAAGCAAAGCCTCTGTAGCCACAGGGGAGCAGGCTGGTGTGCTCCATACTGCCCAAGGGGCAGCTCTTCATCCCAGAATGGAGCCACCTGGACAGTTAGTGCCATGTCCTTGGGCAGGTCACTGGTAAGCAAGGCTTGTCCTGCCCATGACTTCCCCATACTGACCTGCTCGGTGATATAAAGCTGGGGACCATCTGCATATCGGAGTGTATAGTACTCTGGGTTTGGCAGTGACCACCTATGAGAGAAAACAGTATATCCAGTTGGTTTCTCCTCTGAACCTGTCCTGGGTTTTCAAGGGAGTTCCTCAGGGGGTTGGCCAGCCTGTCTGAAGAACACTGGAATCAAAACAAAGCTTCAGGCTGAGCTGCTGAAAAAAGGACCTCCTCCCCGTTGGGGAAGGTCGGCAGCACTAGAAGTGCAGACTAGAGTGTGGGTCTTCCTAGTTGGACTTTCCAAAGGGCACTGCTGGGCCCAAGAACAAGTGAAGGAAGGACTATGGGAGGTCTCAGGAACATCCTCACCAGGTGTCCTTCCTTGATGACCCAGTCCACCCGGAAAGCCTTCACATAAGTTCTTTCAGGACTGGCACTGCCCTTAGCCTTAGCTGCCATTGTTGAAAACCAAGCCATTTCAACCTACCCATCACACACTTCCTTGATGATGGATGCCAGGGGCCGTTTCTGAAAGACACAGAGAGAGATCCTTCACATGTGTTCTGCATGCCAGGTTCTAAAAGATGGGCAACCAGCAGAACCATTCAGAGCTCTGGTTGAGGAATAAACCCTTCTAAATCCATACTGCCCCACCTTCCCTGGGGAGAGTCAGTCTTCCTTACTCTTGATGCCAGTGGCTTCCAGCCTGAAGACACCTCTGTCAGACACCCCAACCCTCTCCTTGCAGCACTGATTCTCAGAGAAGGCGCATACCTGGTCAATTTCAAGGAGCTGGGCATTAGCACCTGGCCATTCAATGGCCACTTTGACGAGGTCAGATGGTGGTGGCATCGTTCCCAGTGGGCCCTACTTCTCCAAGACACATGCACAGACACAGCTGCCTGGCGAGAGAACGAAAAAGAAGGAAAAAGAATGTGCTTCCTTTTCCTTCCCACTGTCTACTTTGGAAATCTGAAGACAAGAGACTAAGGACATGTGGAATGACTTGGGATGTGTTCAGGTTCAGTCTGCAGTCTCTCCTTATGCTGCTGTCTCTTTAGATTCAATCAGCAGTAGAAATGGAACAAACCTATCTATCATCTGCAGTTCAGGCTGTAGCAGGATATGCCAGTGTGACGCTTCAGTGTGGGGTCATGGGACGGGGCGGGAGAAGAGCACACTGACTATAAATTCCCATCTTAGGACCTCAGGAGCGGAGAGGCATGTGCTCTCAAGCAGATAAGAATAGACAGCCTTTTCTTGGTTGAGTGGTTAGCTGAAGGAGGCAGGCCCCTTCTGCTCGGCAGTCATGCTTGGAAGATCCCCTTGTCATCAGGGCCCGCCACTCTCTCCTCCCCACTCCATACGGTGACTCCTGCCCCCTCAAAGGACAGTGTGGAGCCCCCTCTCTTTGGGATGACGCAGAGTTCAGAAAACGGGGACGACAACTGGGACAGGAAATGCTATTTTTGTCCCTACCACCAAGGGCAAGGGCTGCCAGGGGCTCGAGCGCAGGCGGTAAGAACATGTAAAGGCCCTGCTTCAGAACAGGGCTATGTGAGTGCATCTGAGCCCTCCCCCGCTGCTCTTCAAAATAAAGGAAAATAAATCATTTGGAGGGAGTCTGGGAGATGGGCCCATGTGACTGGTATCCTAGGCAACTCTGGAGCTTAGTGGAATTCTAGCAGTAGCTAAAGCTCTCTCCAAGGTATGACGGAGGCAGTCACTTGTGATGGATTATTTCAACGTATATTTGTACTCTTTGCCTACAGGTTTGGGAGCGGCCACTCTCTTAATGAAAAAGACCTTTGTGCCTCCTCAAGGTTCAGCCACTCACCCTCGATTCGTGCTTCTCTAATGGGGACCGCCTGCTTCTGCTGGCACGTGCACCACCACTGTTGCTAAGCTGTTAATCGTGTGTGCTATCAATTTTCCACCCCAACAGATGTCAGTTCTCACAGCCTGGGTGGGCGCAAACCTTGCTGGTGAAAAGGAAGAAAATCTGTCCTCTATACCACCAGGCTCAGAGACAAGGCAGCCTTCAGGGCCACTTCCTGACCAGGTGGGCTGTGTCAGGAGACAGGGACTTGACCGTGGAAAAGGAGTGCTTTCACTTATTTTGCACGATGCTCTCAGCAACCCTTAGCAGGAGGCAGGTCAGGACCATCATCCTGACTTGAAGGGAAAGAGCCTGAAGCTCAGAGCTTGATCAACTGCCTAATTCACCCAGCCAGAAGTGGGAAAACTACTGAAAGGAAATCAACCCTTTGTAAGAACTTCTGAAGAGTGCTCTGCTCCAGCAACGGGGCAAGGCAGAGAGGCTTGTGCAAGCAGGGTGCTGTGACCCTGATACCAGGGCATCCTTACCTCTGCTAGCCATCACTGTAACTAGAGGTAGTGGTGAGACTCTTATAAAAACTGATGTGTAATTTACAAGTTTAGAGTGTATGTGTGTGTATGTGTATGCATGCGCATGCCTATAATGTAAAAATAAACACACACAGCTCTTCCTTAAGCACCACCAACCCTCCTCATAGTTCTTTCCAACTTCACCATCATCAAGGGACTAGGCCTGTTTTTGTACTTCCTATAAAGGAACGTGTACTGTAGAGCATTCTAGACTGTCAATTTTGTTTTTTTTGTTTCAAAGAAGGGGATTGGGGAGATAGCTCAGTGGATAAAAGCACTGGCTGTGCAAGTCTGAGGATCTGAGCTCAAATTTCTAGAACCTATGTAAAGACTGACGCATGTTGTGAGTGTCTATAATCCCAGTACTCCTACAGAAAAATGGGAGGCAAGAGGCAGAAGAGTCCTGGGATGCTCACAGGCCAGCCAACCTTGCTTACAACCAGAAAAACAAAGACTGTCTCCACAAATGGAAAGTGCGGGCAAACACCGAAGGCTGTCCTCTGACCTCCATATGGTCTCGGTGTCTCTCGGTCTCTCTCTCTCTCTCTCTCTCTCTCTCTCTCTCTCTCTCT